GAGTGGAACGTGCAGAGAAAGCGATCTAATACAGATATGAAGTGGCCTGGTGCTTCGCAGAGGTGGAATGATCTAGACAGTAAAAATTAGCTCAGAACATGAACAAAGAACAAGCCGGACACAAAACTACGCTGAACCTCAGACATTTGCATGACGTATGTATATGTAGAAGACGAGGGTATCGCACAAGAATTTCAAGAAATTTACAATATGCCTGGCTGGTTGCTTTGCAATTAAATCGCTCCCTGAAACACCTAATTAATATTTACTAGAAAGAGAAAAAACAGGAGGTTTCGAATCGACAGTGGTCACCTCAAAACTTTGGGGGCTGCGGAAAGAGGGTGAGTTGTTTGGGTATGAAGCCGCCACCTTCGTATGTTATCGTTGTCGCCAGCACAAATAGCACCGATTTCCTCCTGAAACTCAGCAAATTCCTCGAAAAACGTCCAAATCAATGTTACGTAAAAAGCTCAGGATGAAAAGGTTACCTTGAGCCTTTTAAGTTCAGTTGAAATGCTTTCAATGGACGTTGACGGCGATGCATCACCTCCACACCACTGACCGCGACTACGAATGCAAAACTGAAACACAAGCCTTAATAACCTCAGCCTCAGTGTAGAATACGCAAAATTATCACGCTACTATACTAATGAGCAAAATAATACAAGTAAAATATAACCACATTAAATAAAGAAAAAGAAGAGACGACATTTACCTCCCTATCCACGCTAGCTGCGGCAGTCAAGGTACTTTCGGGGCTAGCAACCATTTTGTATAACCTCAGCGGTTACGTATATTCAGTGTCAGCTCAAACCAAAGCAACCACCAAGAGAAAATCCGCGAAATTGCAAAGGATATTCCAAAATGGCGCCAAGAACGTGTGTCGTACGCAGATGAACAATATGTCAACTACCGTAGTCGCACCTCCGATCGGCAAACTCCGGTGCTGGAGCTGTTCACAATGATGATTTGTTGCGCAGGGAAAGACCGGAATAGCGGTTCCTCCTACTACGCGTAGGGTCTCATCGAGTAAGGGAGGGGAGTATAGGTGTTAGAATCTCCACGTGTTGACAAGACGATTGGACTGAGCTTAGAAAGCAAAGAGGGATCCTGATCCGTTGAAAAATCATTCGTTTTTGTTGCTGGCCGATGGGGGGGGATTCTCCCCATCCTAAGCTTAGTACGCGCTGCTCACTAGACGAATATTACTGCTACTGACCTTTGTGTCAACCGGCACAAGAGAACAGACATTAACAAAAACCAGAAGAAATACTGAAGGAATAAAGCTGACAGCAGCTAGAAACTCCAAAGGTCTTCTTGAGCCAAAATGGAATTGGAGCACTGGAATGAGGACCGAAATGCCCCCTCCGACTGGATGACACCCTTCGCGTTTCTGCCAGCGTTTTCCTCAACTTCACGGTCCGCTGGACTCCACCTACAACGTTTCCAGAAACCGTTATTTGTATCGGGGAACTTCGACCAATAGAACCGGCGCACCTTAGAAGCCCTATTTTAAACCCCTGAGCTTTCTAAGTTCTGTTTCGAGCAAAGGTAAATATTAACCAACCCTTGCATACCTCGCAGCGGTTATCTAACACGTAGGAGCTAGGACCTATTCCAAAGTCTCGCGAGGTCTGTATTAACACCAGCTACTACCACTTGTTCCAGGCAGCTCACCCCACGCCCACTAATGAGGTCAAATGAAGTTTTGTCACAGTAAAAGTTGCTTTGTATTATTCACTTTCCAGTTTGAACAGAAACATTATATCGCAAAGGTGTTGGAATCGATAGATTATATTTGCATTCTCATCCTATTCACAGACGGCTGATGAAAAATTTGAAATGGGGCCCCCATGACATGGCTTTGTTTATCGATGAGCTTTTTCTCACCCATAGTCATACACTGAGATCAAAGTGCTGTTGTTCACCATATTCCTATCGATTTCGATCACCTAGAAGCGAAGTTTACGGTTTGGGGGTACCCCTTAGAATTGGGGTAGAGGTGTTCAATGGTGCCTGGATGGAGAAAAGGCCATGAGACACGACCCAGAAACCAGGAATCGGGGCCCCTTCCTTGCCCTTTGGTTTTCGCGTTGATGCAACTTCTCATCGCTTCCCTCTTCAATGCTAACGTTCTCTCTGCTCACCGGCTAGAGACCTGCGGCGTGTGTTAGCCAGTCGGTGGGCGTGCCGCGTCCGATAGCGCGCGGGGAAGGCCATGCTAGCTTGCCGGGCATATCCGCGAGTTGCGTGTCGGTGCGGCCATTAGGGTTTGGTGCCTGTCATCCCACTAGGTAAGTTTTCCCTTCTTCGACCTTTGACCTCAACGTGAAATCCTCCTTTGAGCGAGCCGGGTATTGTCAGGAATATGGAGGAATGTGGAAAAACATCGTCAGAGACAAGTTGGATCTGCAAGGGTATAGAATCGGTCTAAATGAGGCTCTATGAAGTGTTTCCGACCATCAAGGATCAATGTTGGTAGTACAGTCGATATCCGAAAGTTGGGGTAGGTGTGTCACCGGAAGTGACGTGCACTTGATAGAAGTTGCGTGGATAAGCTGTTGCCAGCATGCTTTGCTGATATCCAGCGATGTATGTTGGAAGCAGCTTATCCACATAGCTTCTATCAAGTGCACGTCACTTCCGGTGACACGCCTACCCCAACTCACGGATATCGAGTATACTTTAGGGTACGCATTTGCAGCAACCCT